TTAGAGATTTGGAGATAAATACACAAAGTATCGGCTAAGAGAGTTGAAGGGGGTTGTCCCTCTAGAGAGGGAAAAGCGTAGGGCAGGGAATAAGGCAGATTTTTATAACCGACCGTGTAGCTCTCTAGGATTCTTTAGATGGTGACCGTATAGCACTCGGATCAAAAAACAAGAGTTGAATAACAAACGCAGATGAAGATGCCAGGCAGTCCTTGGCACAGCCCGTGCCCCCTCGTCTCCTCAGTGATGTACTCAGGTAAGTGGTGTGCACTTAGCGGAGGGGGTGCTTCTCTGTGGGTAGGAAGGGGTTGGAGCAGCTGGGCCAAGTGTGTATCTGAGCAGACAGGGCCGGTTAGGGCAGGAAGCACCAACGACTGGACGCTCACTGCGCCACGACAGGTCCTTTGACATGGGGGAAGTGTGTGTGTGTATCTGTGGAGGGCGGTCGCTCGGTGTTGCGGTGTTGGGGGTGGTACTCACGCTGCCTGGCCGGGGACTGATCTCGGGAACCCCGTAAGTAGTCCAGCGTGAAGTCTCTTTGTCCAGCCCCTTGTACTTCCCCTCAAAGACACGTCTGAAGTCCTTGAGAGAGAAGGCACAGACGGCAGAGCTCCTGGTCCCACCGATCTGCCTGGGGACAGCCAGAGGGGACACTGTTATCTCTCTTCTATACCAGGAAGCTCCCCCTGTAGCCCTGGCCCACCCTGGTCAGAAAGCCCAGGAGGGAAGGGGTGTGGAGGGTGGGGCTGGCCTACCGATGCCTAGTCTCCCCGAGCTGTGGTGATAAGGCTGGGGGAGTCCCTTGCGGACCGTCTTGGGACCTGAAGTGTGATTATCCTTAAGGAGGCGTGATTGGGGCTCAGGCCGTGGGGGTGGCTGCTGCCTGTCTTGCCCAGGCTGGGCTGTACCCATGGGAGGGGCAGTGTAAACAGTTCCCAACAGGCTCCAGATGAAGCCCTGCTCCTTTTGGTCCTACTGATTCCTGACCCTCAGGGAACCAACCAGAGCCTGACTATGAGAAGATCTGTATTCCTTCAGCCCTGGCCTGTGGACAACAGGTTTCTCTTGTTCTCTTTAACCTGATTGTGGCTCACATCCTGTTCTCGGTTCTGGATGTCATTAATACCAGCCTCTGCTTACAGCAGGTATTTTTGGTACCTGACACATTGTCAGGAAGTACCTAAACACCGTGTGACCAGATCACAGCAAATCAACTGACTTTTCTCAGCCTCCAAGCAATGACTATTTTAACTTTAGTGATACTGATGGTGTTTCCCTTTTTGCTTTGGCCATTAGGAAGCTCAGAGCTAAATTGTGATCAGCACCTGGCACTGCATAAATGACAAACATCTGTAATGCGTCGTCCCAGTCCCTGCCTTGTCTTATTTTTCTTTTACTCCTGTTTCCTTATCAGTTTTTATCGTATCTTGTCTCAATGTTTGCCTTTGGTAAGCTGTCTCCTATCCTTTTTGGAACCAGGCAGGCTATCAACTAGTAAGAACCTGAGTTTTCTTTTTCCATCTACATGAAGGGGGTGGGTCTGATCCGTGGGACGTGGTGGCGATCACACGCCTTCCTAGGTGAGCTGCGCGGAGTGACAGCTCCAACCCGCCGGCCCCACGACCCGCGCGCGCAGCCCCCGCGTTCCCGCCGCTCTGCTCACCACTGGGAGCTGAAGGTGGCGTAGACGCGGGCGTCTGCGGAGGCAGTGGCGGGCAGCAGCACCGCGTGGCGGACGACGTTGAAAGGCAGCTGCCCCGGCTGCGCGCAGAGCAGCTGCGCCTTCAGGAAGGTGGTCCACTTCTTCTGCAGCAGCTTGTCTCCGCCCACGTCGTTCTAGGGCCGCGTGGGCGGAGTCAGTGGCGCCCCGCCCCGCTCCGCGCGCCCTGCGCCCCGCCTCCCGCGCGCCCGCCCCGCTCCCATTGGGTCCTGGGCGCTCGGCCCCGCCCCTGCCATCTCCGCATTGGCTGCCCCGCGGCCAGCGCCGCCTCCCGCCCGGGCCGCCCACCTTGCAGACTCTGGCCACGCGGGACGTGTGGAGCTTCTCGAAGAACTCGAACTCGCTGGCCGTCTCCTCGAAGAAGAAGTAGACGAAGTGGGTCGAGGGGATGGCTGCCACGAAGGAGGCGTCCGCTGCGGGGCGGGGCAGATAGGCTTAAGGCTGGGACTCTACCCCCGCCCCCACCCCCCCAAGCGCTGGTCCGCAGACTGGATGCCTAGAGGCCGGCCGAGGGTGGCCCTGGGGGGGTAGGGGGGTGGGGGGGGGACATCTGGTCCCTTTTGTGTTTACTGACGCTTCGCGGGGCTGAGAACTGCACCCCCAGCAACAGTACTGCCTCGCACTACTGAAGGAGGCCCCCTTCAAGAAGGGCACAAGGGGGAACAGCGGGTCTCGGGTTCTCAGGCCTGGCCGCCGCGCTTGCTCTGGGACGGGCCAGACCTGGCTGGGGACTGGGGTCCTTACGCTGCAGCCAGCGGAGGAAGTTGTCGGTCTTGAGGACAGGCTGGGGTCCCAGCGTGCGGATCAGGATGGGCTCGCTGCCCAAGAAGTTGTTCATGGTGCCAGAATAGAGCATCCCATCTAGGGCGGGGAGAGGGCGGGAGGCCTCCTGGTTGGAGGGGGTCCCTGCTCTCTTCAGACCTGCCTCTGCCTGGCGCCAGCATTCACATCGGTCTCTGGCCCCCTTCTGTGTTCTACACCTTCCTGTGGTGCCCAGAGCCCAGCTCACAGACCCCGCTGAGCCCCCTTCTTAGGGAATACTGCCTCAGGGAATAGTCATGCCTTGTGTCCCTCTGTGCACTGGCCTTGTCCAGCCTTCCTCTGGCTGCTCCCTCACAGGCCCAGCAGAACCACTTGGCAAGTAGAATCACTCCTGGTTCCCCAAAGGTGGCTGTGTTTTCTGCCTCCACCCCTTGGCCCTACCCTTCTCTTCCTGGAACATCTTCACTGCCCATCTACGTATCTTTCAAGGTCCAACTCAAAAGCCAAAGGCCACCTCTTCCAGGAAACCAGGGCGGGGAATCTGTTATGGTCTGTGTCTGGGAGGGCACAGGCCGTGATTTCTCGTAAACTCCACAGAAAAAATGGCTGAGCCTCAGGCCTCTCTTCTGCCCAAGACCCTTCCCGGACCCTCTTGCCTGTGTGAACCTCTCTCTATCTACCTCCCTCCACCTCCTTTGGGGCAGCTTCAGCGGGACCGGTTGGGGTGCCCGAGTCTCTCTCTGATCTGGTGCCCTGAGGCTCCTGGCTTCCCCTCCCTCCATCCCCTGCCTTTCAGAAAACTGTCAGATTCCATAGTTCCCAGAGTGACCTGGGAAGGCAGATACTGGAAACCTGATACTCACCTGCCAAGACAGCTGTGTGCTTATGGGCAGGGTCGAAGGGGCTTTGGCCTTTCCCCTCCACAACTTTGTCCTGGGAGATGGGCATCAGGTAGGAATCTTGGAGTTCCTAAAGGGGGGGGAGAGGCTGGGGGCCAGAACGCCAGGGTCTCATGTCTGGGAAATGAAGGGCTTGAGGGAAGGAGAGGAACATGGAGGGAAGGTGGGGCCAGGAAGCTCACGAGGGTCCTGCATCTGGAAGAGCAGAGTTTTCCAGAGCTCCAGAGGATGGGCCGGGAGTAGGTGTGGAAGGGATGCTTGGGTCCGAGAGCTGGGTGCCCAATAACTCACGATGAAGGTACAAGCGGGGCTGAAGGCGAAGGTGCCACATGTATATAGGTGGGTGGCGTTGAGAGAGACCAGGACACGGATAAAGTTGAAGCACTGTGTCTGGGGAGACAGAGAATTCAGGCTGCCCCTCCCTTGCTGGGGGGGGAGAGGGCGGGGCACCCCCGACGCAGTCTCTACATTTTCACAGAGGGTGATGCAGGCGTCATAGTGGAAATAAGCATCCTCCGCTGCCTGTCCAACCTGAGGTCTTCCGGTGGCGGTCTGGGGGCTCTGCCCAGAGCCCCTGCACCCCCACTTGGGCTTACCTCATTACTCTTCTTCTTAAAGGCACATTCTCTCTTTTTTTGGTCACTGGCCGGCCAGGGTATCTGCGGTGGGGAGTGGGGAGGGAGACGAACGAAAGTGAGGTCTTCGGCTCTAGCTTTGACCTGCTCCCGTCTCCTTGGGCCAGGTGTGAAGTCACTGGAAGGCATGGTGGCCAGTGACATGCTAATGAGCTGTAATAACATCAGCTTGTGACTGTGGTCACTGCTCTGATGATGCTGGCGTTCCTTGGGACGCAGCTCTGTGGTAGAACACGGCCTGCAGAATCAGACCTGAGTTTGAATCCAGAATCAGCCGCTTGGTGGTTAAGTGATCTCAGTCAATTGCACAAGCTCCTGGAGGGCACCCACCAGGAACATATGCAAAGTACCCTTAGGGCAATGCCTGGTGTACAGAGCAGCTGTTGTCAAACCACACGTTTCCTGGAGAAATTGTTTAAAATGTCGGTTCCTGTCTGCCACCTCAGAGAAGCTGCGTCTTCACCCGGCAACCCATACGCGCAGGTGGCCCACAGGCCACACGCTGAGAGGCACAACCGGGAGATGCTCAGAAATTGCTCCCTCTCTCCCTCCTTCCTTCCGCCCCCCTCTCTTCCTCACACCATTCCCGTTAGGAGGCTGACCGTAATTTAATACACAGGCTTCAGTGGTTTCTACCAGTGGGTGGATGTCACGTTATTGATGTCATTGGAGTCAGTGTTTCTGTCGTATGTCAATGATTTCCGTTTCAGCCATTCTAGCAGTTAGTATCGTTCAAGCAGAAGGCAGGGTACCAGCAAGTAGGGAGACCACTATGGTATCTCTTCTCTGTTCTGCAGACCGGGTACATCCGACCCGGTAGGATGGGTAGTCGGTCATGCGTAGGCAGACCAGGCACGGGGGTGGGGAGGCACTGTCGGCCCCCTCCCCACCCCCAGCCCATGCCCTTCACCCCTGGCCTGCTCACCATGTTCTTCAGCTTTGGCATCCCTGGATCCTGGATGTTCAAGGCCAGAATGGCCTCCCGAGCCCCCACATAGAGAGTGCCTCCATCACCACTCAAAAGCAGAGTGTCGAAATCCTGGAGGCCCTTCTGGTGGAAGAGGCTGAGAACCCTGCGTCCGTCCCCTGTTGGGAGTTGAGGAGAAGGGGTGAGTGATGAGGGCTGGCTGGGCACAGAGCTGACTTCCGAGATTGAGGTGGGGAGGGGAAGTGTTGGCAGAGTGTGCCCCGCCCCCCCAGGCCCTGGCAGCCAGACCTACACTCCACCAGCAGCCGCCGCCCCCCCCCCCCCTTCACCCACCCTGCTGGGAGGGCAGGAGTTTTGTGTTGATCCCACAGCGGAGAGAAGAGGCAGCCAGAGACAGGGTAACGACAGCCCGGGGCTGGGGAAGGGTGGCCTGAACCCAAGAGACACACAAAGGGCCAGCAAATAGAGTGAGCCACAATGGACACACTTCCAGGCCTGGCGGGGGTGGGGGGCTGTGGGGGGCAGGGGGAGGAGCAGGGGGAGCAGAAGGCAGACAGACAGATAGGACTGTGTGTCAGGGTGGCTGTAGGCTGTAGGGTCACACTCCCCAACCCACCTTCCCTTCTCTCGCAGGACATTTCTACCACTAGAATCACTGCCATCAGCTGAACAGAGAGGAAACGTTCATCCCCAAAGGCCCCTGTGGGCGAGCCTGGCTGGCACCTGTGTGGGGGCAGCGAGCCGGCCACCGGGAGGCAAGTGAGGCCCTCATGGTCACCTCGGGGTGGCAGTGGTGCCGGGGGGATGCTCCTGTCCCGCTGGTACATCGGCAAGGGGACAGGCTCCCCCCACCCCAGGGCTGTGTTTGCACGTCAGCCCTAGAGGCCTGTCCTGTCTAGCTAAGTGTTCCCTTTGGAAGCTGTGAGAATCTCAGGGCCAAAAGGAGAAGTCGGCAAGGTGCTGGCCTCCCCCAGACCTGCGTGAACCCCTCGGTTACTGGACGCCCCATCCTGCGGCATGACCTCCGGGCCTCGCATCTGCTTCCCGCGCAGAACCCAGAGGGCGGGCTGAGTACCAGGGTTGCTTATGTTGGGGATGCCAGCACTGGACACAGAGGCGTCCTCGCCAACAGCGGCCAGCGTGCGTGTCCTTTACCAGGTTGCCCCAGACAGATACCAGAGACACAGCCGCGCCCAGGAGACCCTACGCCTACAACTCCTGGCATATCCCTTCCTGAGCCTTCTGCCTGGAGCTGAGAGGGCGGGCGGCAGAGCGTCAGGGCCTGCACCCCAGCGGGCCACCCCGAGTTCTCTTATTCCTGGCGTCTGGACGTGGCGCGGTCCAGCACCCTCTGTGTGGTTGTTGCGGGCCTGGTGTGTGCGGGGCCACCGGGTCCACGGATAATCTTCTGGCGTGGCTGTGGCTTTACGGGCATGTGGGGGTGTGAAAGCAGTTAGGGGTTGGAAGTGCCCGGCTTGAGGACAGTGACATGTAAGGAGGGAAAGAAAAACCACCAGCCCCGGAGAACCACCCCGGCCCCTTCCTCTCCTCCCTTGGTCTTCCCCCTTAGTCTTCCGGCCGTGGCACATAGTTTCCTCATCCACCCCTTCCTCTGCCCCTCCCCTCCAGCTCGGCTTGCCGCCCTGCGCTACCTGGCCGTCGGACACTTACCTGCGTGGTAGATGACCCTGGGTAGGGGCCCCTGCCCAGCGGCCCCCGCGGTCAGCAGCCGTGGCAGCAGAAACAGCCAGAAGAGGAAAAGGCCCGGGAGGCTCCAGGGGTCCGGGCCCGGGGCTAGGAGGGCCATGCTCAGCCAGAGGCTGTCACCAGATGGCTCTGCGGAAACAGACACCCAGACACCCTTTGGGTGAGCAGGCCTCACCACATCCCCCCCCGGGAGCCAATAGGAGAGCCCCAGGCAGCAGAAGTGCGCATGGGGGTGGGGGGTGCCGGGGAGGGGACAGTTTCCTTTCCAGAGTGCCTTCTGAGTCTCACTTCCATCATCCACGGGCACCAGCCTGCTGCCTCGAGCTCCCCTGTGGGCCGGAGTCCAGCTTCCTGCCTGCCCTTCTGATCTTCAGCCCCCAGCAGCCCTGCTCTGCCCTCTCTCACCTGAGTCTCAGGAAGTCCTTCTTGCTGTCTACCCTTTGCCTTCCCTCCCCCGTCGCCCAGAGCCCAGACCTTTCCCTTCCCCGGGCCCAGGCAGGGGACTTTCTGGGGAGCAGCTTCCTACACTCAAAATGTAGGTTAATCAGACCCATCTCTGCTGGGACTTTCAGATCTGTGGCCGACCTCTCCCCTGCCCTCAGAGGACCCAGGCAGGCCTGATTCTGCCTATGCTGACCTCTCCCCTTCCCCTGCTGGGTGCAGGTCTTTGACACTCTGGCCTACCTGGCCCTCCCTTGTAGGGAGGTAATGAGGGGCCGCGCCACCAGGCAGCTCTGCGGCTGCCCCTCCCCCTGCTCTCTGACTCCCTGGGTCGCTGCATCAAGGTCCCCAGGATCATCACCCCCCAGCCGCCCACCTCATCGCACATACCCTCGAGCCAGCCACAGTGCAGAACCCCAGGTGTCCAGAGTCTTGGGTAGGGGTGCATCCAAGGGAAAGAAGAAGGGGCTTCCTAGGCCCCAGAGGCAGGGGACAGGGGATGGAAGGTCAGCCCGGCTGGGCCGGGAGTGCGGCCCGCCAGGTACCCATAGCGCCAGAGCCGGCACTGAGAGCTCTGGAAAACCAGAATTTCCACCTCTGGAGTCGAGTTGTGACAGATCCCTGGCTCAGGCGGAAGTGGGGGGGGGGGACGCTGGGAGGGCAAGAAAGGAGACACGCCTCTGCCCCCCCCCCCCCCCCCCCCCCCCCCCCCCGTCTATCCAGAAAGTTTCTGGGCCATGCCAGCCACTCCACTGCCCTCTGTCGTGCCACCTCTAGTCCAACCAGCCCGGGAGTGGCTTCTTCTCTTGCTCAAGATTTCTCAGATAGGACGTGACCCTGTCCTCTCTGTTCCTCTTTTCGCTCACCCACAAAGCGGGGTCTCTCCACGGCTGTGTGCTCAGAAGTGCCTGCGGTGGTCTCCCCTCGGGACCCCCGCTTCAGGGGGGCCGCAGTCTTGAAAGACTAAGAGGGCTGCGTTGGGCTCTCCCCCGTGGCTGGTTCCCTCCCACGGCCTGGCGTCCATCCCTCCCCGGGGCAGCATCAGGCCAGGGGGAGCCCAGAAAACTTCCCATCTGAGCTTACACCCAACCCCCCAGTGTCTGCTCACCTCTCCCTGGAGGCCCCGGGGCGGGGGGAACCTCCTAATGCAGGGTTAACGAGGCATCTCCAGCCGGGGCGCGCAACCTATAAAGTGGGTAGCTTCCGGCGCACTCGGCCCCAGGCCGGCCGGCTGCTGGTTTAAGAGCACGGCCATCCCAGGGCTAACCTGACTCCAGCTGGTGACCCAGCTCCTTCTCACACTGCCATTGCTCAGGCAGGATGGCCTTCCTGCCGTGTCACTGCCATCCTTCTGGTCGTGGTGCAGCCCGTCATTCCCTAGAATTCCCGGTCAGGGCCCACTCATCTTCCCTCAGTTTCTCTGGGGGCTGGTCCCAGCCGGAGCCCTCCTGACAACTGTTTTGTGGCGACTAGCCTAAGACTCTCCCAGACTTTCATGGAGGCTGGTGGCCAAGTCCTGGGGAGAAGCCAGGGGCCACGCCACTCAGAGAAAGTCTTCCAGACTCAGAATCCAGGGAAGGGAAGATCCCTCCTGGACTCCGCCTTCTGTGCCTCCCCAACCCCTAGTCCAGATCTGGGGCCTGCTCTGCCCCTTGGCCTCTCTGCTTGAACAGATTGGCTTATCTGGGTCACAGGGAGGGGTTCTGACTGCGGGGGAGACGGGGGAGGCAGCCCAGCTCCAAACTCCCAGCCCGACGCCCTGCGTCTGCCCTCTAGAAGTGCTCAGTTCACCGGGCTGGCCCTAGTTCCTCCTGCCCCAGAGACCCGGGGATTCTCCTTCCCCAGCCCCTCCCGCCAATATGAGTAGTTCGCGTTATTAGGCCTTGGTCTCCCCAACAGTTTTAGCAGATGGGCACCACCATAGTCCCATTTCGCAGATGAGGAAAGTGATGTTACGCAGCGAGAAGCCAAGTTAGACTCAGATGGGCCTCGTTCAGAAGCCAACCCCTTGGCCACCCAGTGTGGTCCCTTCTCAGCTCTGAGCCACTTGGATGGGGAAGACACCTCGGAGGGAGGCGGTGGCCAGCTCTGGCTCTTCTGGGCTGAGAAACTGTACCTTAGGGACTCCCGATTCCGGAGGGGACAGAGACCTCTCTGGCCATCAGGTACGAGCACCAGCCCCACACGCAGCAGGGCCATCCGCTTCCGCGGGAGAGCCTGCCGGGGGGAGGACACCCTGCCCACCACCGTCCCTCTTGCGTGGGGGGCTCTGGAGTCGGAGGCAAAGTCACACGGCCATCACCCCCGTGCCGCTGGGGAGCCCACGGCCAGGGTGGCTTCAGGGGCACATGACCCGGGCAGTCACGGGGGCCCCCCATTCGGAAGGGCCCACACGTGACCTAGTGCTCTCCTGCTGCCGTCCTGAAGGTGCCTGATCACTGCTGAACGCGGGACCCCACGTCTTCACTCTGTGCCAGGCCCGCAAGTGACGGAGCAGGTCCTGCCCCGGCATCAAGCAAGCTCGTGGCCGCCAGGGCTCCTCAGCTGACCTTCCCCATTGCCCACACAAGAAGCCAAGGGCAGCAGGGAAGTGTCTTGGCGGGGGCTGGGGTCCGCAGGGTTCAGGTGGGGCGGTGGCGAGAAGGGGCCAGGTGTTCAGGGCCCAGCCTTAGGGGCTGTGACATTTCATGGCACCGATGTGGGGGCTCCCCAGCTCCTCTCTCCCCAGCCTGGGGACCCTCCCCCCGCAAAACAACAATGTCTAGTTCCACCCTGTCACCCGCTGAGGGTCCACCTCTTCTAGGGACTCCTCCCCTCTGGCCCCTAGACCACATAGAACAGTAGCCCCTTCCTGCAAGGCTTTCTGGCCTTTGGTAGAGATGTAGCTGTGGGGGTTGGAGGGGGGAGGGGCGATGGAGACATTGTCCTCGTTCTCCACCCTACCCTGTACTCACCCCCGTACCCCTACCATGTACTCACCCCCTCCGACCCTAACCCGTGCTCA